TTCTGCTTGACTGGCAATGTCAGAAATTGTTGACCTGAGTCCCCTACAGCTCAACATAACAGCATGGCTTTACTTCTTATATTTTGTTTTTATACTTTTCTGCTGTCCAGTGAATAAATTATATTGTGCAACTGATGACATCTCATAAAAATACTGAAAATTTGTGTCTCTAACTTTATTACAGAGTTTGCATTTTTTTCATAATTTTAAAGTTTTGATAAGGAATACAATTTTCCATAACTATTAGAAAATGAAGGAGTTTTTCTTATTACTAGTTTTGAAATAAGTAAACATTCATTTTAGGTGTGGTGATGCAGATATAGATAATAGAGGCAAACCTGATAGAATGGGATGATACTGTTTAATGAGGTACATGTGCATTAACTCACTTATATCTCACAGGAACTCCATAGGTAAAACTGATTATTATTTTGTGTAGACAGGGAACCTTGATCAAGGCCATCGGGCCCAGTGGTGGAGCAAGCCCATAAGCTCAGGCAGCTTGTGTTAAGAGTGTGTGCTGTTAAATTGTGTCCCTTTCAAGAGCTTTGAGAAAAGACAGTCTCTGACCCAAGACAATCAATTCTATAAGACATTAAGGTTAATGGTCAATTAAAGAATAAGTCTTTCGTTACTTGGGTTATTGGTTTATTCAAGGTTTTCTTCAATTAATGAACTCTGCTTTTACTTAGAAAATATGTTAATGAAATTGTAAGAATGGCTGATAGTGTGTGAACTTCTTTTGATCAGCTGGTCTGTAGAACATCCCTCAGCCAATCTAGGTCCTCTATAAAAACTGAATTTGCTAGTCTTAGAAACTTTCTTATTGATCATTTGTGGTATGGTTTGTGAATATTGTATTTTTGGATCTTTTTAAAAAAATGTTATTGATACATTTTAGAGGTCCATAGTGATAATATTCATCACTGGGATTTTATACCTCTACCTGGTAAATCTTTCTTCTTTTTTCCCCCCATTCTTCTCCCCTGTGTTTTTGGATTTTAAAAAATTGCTGATTTCTGTGGTTTACTAATAGCTTATTAAAAATTGTAAGTGTAATTATTATTATAGAAATTTTTGAGAAGGGAGAAAACCACAGAAATCTATTTTAAAGCCCAAGGAAAACAACTGTTAACATGTTGTCATACTTTTTCAACATTTTTTCTAAATATTTTTAATGTATGTGTACATAACCAGTTTTTAAAACATTGTATAATGAGAAATCCTCTAAAATATCTGAAACATTAAAATGGATGTAGATATATTCTGTTTTTTAGCTGTTCTAAAGTTGGATAGATTATTTTGAGGTCTTCATTTGTGTTTACCATTTTTTGCCTTTATCACTTAACAGTTTTTCTCAGAATAAACTCTTGACTTAGTAGCTTAAAAACTGTTTTTACTAGGGCCGGCCAGATAGCTCAGCTGATTAAAGTGCCTTTTTAGGCAGATGCAGGGGAGTTAGATTCCTGGCCTGCCATGCCAGCGCCACCCCCCAGGGCGTGCTGAGATGATTGAGACTGGACTTGGTGATGCATGCCTGTACAAGGCTGGAAAACAGGATCACTACACGTCCGAGCTGTGCAGTGAGACCCTGTAGACCCTGTACTAAATTGAAGTTAGAGTGATTGAAGTGAATAATACCTATAGAAAGACAAAAATGTGTTAACTTAGCAAGGATGTTTTTCATTTGAAAAATTTGCCAGTCTGTTACTCATTGGTTCCTGAGCATTTCTCTGTGTTACCAGTGCTGTTAGAAAAAAGCTCCTAGACTCTTTTAGAATATTTTGCTGAGTTTACACACCTATAATATTCAATAACGGAACTTAGAAAAAATGGGGTATACCGATGAATGTCCATTTTGTATCTGTGTACTCAAAGAGGTTAGGATAGATATATAGTTGCATTCTCTTAATGAATAGAATGATTTGTTCTAATGGTGTTTGTAAATAGGATCACAAGTCCGCATCTTGTACAGCAATTAACCACTAAGAAGAATATATGCAGTGCATTATTTGTTGAAACTGTCCTTCTGATATGATTTGAAACTGTCTCATTGCTATCTGTTTGTCAATAAAACTTTGAAAAAAAAAAGAATTATATAATTCTCATGTTTACACATAAGTCCAGAAATCTAACCATATACAACCTTGTAGCAGGACAGTCCCCCAACATTTCTTTCCTGTCTCCTGCCTTCATTCACCACCCCCTTCTATTATGGACTACTGAACTCTTTTAGAATATTTTGCTGAGTTAACACACCTATAATATTCAAATGATGGAACTAAACAAAAAAGGCGATACAGATGAATGTCTATTTTGTATCTGTGTATTCAAAGTGGTTAGGATAGATATATAGTTACATTCTCTTAATGAATAGAGAGATTTGTTCTAATAGTATTTGTAAAGAGGATATCATGTCCGCATTTTGTACAGCAAATAACCACTAGGAAGAGAGTATGCAATGTGTTAATTATTGAGACTGTCCTACCAATTTGATTTGAAACTGTCTCATTGCTATTTGTCTCTCAATAAAATTATGGAAAAAAAAAAAAAAAGAAAAAAAAAAAAGAAAAAAGCTCCTAGAATGTGTTCCAGAGAAGCAGAAGACACCTGATTTGATTATGTTCTTTCTACTTGAAGAGTCAGAGAAGTGAATGGGTATTATAAGCAAAAGATTTTCAACAGTAAGAGCTGCCTTGGAATATTTTTGTAACCATTTACTTTCTTTGGAAAGTCCTGCTTCTAAGGTGCTTTAGATTGTACCAGGATCATGTGGAACATCTACCTAAGAGTTTACCTAACTGTTGGGATTCTTTAGACTTTCTTGTAGTATCTTTGAGACTTATGAAAAAAACATTTCTAGGGCCTAGTGTGATTGGTCTAATGTTTGGAAATTCTTTTTAGGCAAAGGGGCTGATTTGAGTAAGCCTCCATGTCGAAAAGCCAAGGAAATCCGAAAAGAAAGGAAAATGTTAAAACTCATGCAGCAAAACCCAGCTGGAGAATTTGAGAGTTTCCAGGCTCAAGGTCAGGCACTGACTTCGTTCCCACCAAAGGCTAAATCCAACCAGCCCAAATCACTTGAAGAGTTAATATTTGAATCGTTACCAGAGAATGCATCACACAAACTAGAGGTACTTTGGAAGGTTTTTTTTTTTTTTTATTTGTCTTTTATTGGGTACCTTGTTTAATTCCTTAGAAGTTATATTTATTGGTTGATGTTTGGAATTTAGATAACAAAAGGGAATTGAGTTTAATAGAATTTGTATTTACTAAGTTAACTGCTATTGTTAAAAGTGTTACTTCAAAATACTTTAGGTAACTGACTATTAAAACTGAAAATAATTCCAGCTTTAACATGTTTGATATTGAGGAGAATAATCCGGCTTTTTATATCCCTTGATTGAATTAAGAAAAATGGGGGGCCTGCCCCTTAGCTCAGTTCTTTAAGTGGCTGCTTCAACAAAGCAGTCAGGCTCAGGTTGCTGTGGTTCTTCCCCACAATTCAAGCCAGCCAAACTTGCCCTGAAGGCATTCAGAGCAAAAAACAAAAAAACAAAAAAAAACCCCTTCTGAATTAAGAAAAATAGTCTTGAAAATTTCATTTTAGAAATTTATATAGTAAAAGGTAAATTAGTAAAAGAGAGTGGATCATAGTAGGTAAAGTGCTATTTTATCCATTATGAAATTCTGATACTGATCAAGGCAGCAACCGCTATTACATTATGTAAACTAGCATTTGGAGATTACCTAATCATTAAATTATATTACTAAAATTCTTTCCCATGAATTAATCCCAACAAATTTAGGCATAATACGAATATTTTTAAAGCTCATTTTTTTGAAACTTGTTTGTATTTCTAGATCAATCCAAATGCCTCAATATTAATTTTACACATGTAAAATTCTCAGCTGGGTGTGGTAATGCATACCTGTAATTACAGCTATTTGGGAGGCTGAAACAGGAGAATTGCAAGTTCCATGCCAGCTTAGGAAACACTCAAATTTCTTTTCTAAAGCATTAGCCATAATGATTTGTCATAGTTTTGTACCAGATTAGTAGCTGGTCAACTTTTGATTATAGTTTAATATCATTTAAGAATACCTGTTAATGGTATGCATAAACTACACGTTAACATTGTTATATTCTAAGCCTTCAGGAAATACATGTATTATGAGACATATATTTTGTTTTAACAAGTAAATATTTTGTGAAGAGGCTTTTATTTGATGATAATAAATATTCAGAGAATTGACAATACCTTACATGACAGTTCTAAGGAAAAGGCATCACTTTTTTTTTTTAATGTAATAATATGACCCAGGATATGTAAGTTTTAAGTTTAAAGTTACTAAGGTGAAAGTGAAGGAAGGGCAGAGTCCCATTTTCAGTCCTTCGCTGACTGATGGTGAGTTGTGAAACTAAAATGACAGCATCTGATGAATGCAAGAAGTACCCTGTCTGTTGATAATGTAGGCAGGCCTGTATGATCCAGGCATCAGAAGCAGGCTTCAAATTTGGAGGATCCTCCTTTGCCTTCCTGAGAAGTTTCTAAGTGGCAGAAATTACTTTCATTAACTGTTTTTTACTGTGAAAATAGCTTTAATATTTGTTGAAACTATTTGGGTTTTGATTGGTAGTTACCTTTAATGTTTATTCTGTAGAATGAATAAATGAATGAATTAATGAACATTGTTTTTTAACTTCTTCTGAAGGTGAGGGTGGTGAGGTCATCTCCACCAAGTTCTCAGTTCAAAGCCACATTTCAGGAGTCTTACCAGGTCTATAAACGTTACCAGATGGTCATTCACAAGGACCCACCTGATAAACCAACTGTGAGCCAGGTCAGCAGGCCAATTGTAATTTTTCTATGTAAACAGAACTTTCCCGTCCATTTTGTATTGTATGGAACCTTCATTTATTTTTGGTGCATTGTATTCATATAAAATCTGCAGCATATCTGCAAAAAGATAGGGCTGTGAGTTAATGGACATTCTGAAAGTGCAAATTTTATGAGGGCCATGTTAAATGCCAATCACATATAATTTCAAAGTGGAAAGGAACAGGTAAAGTTATCTTTATTTAAAGTCATTATTTCTGAGGAATTTATCTGAAAGTGAATAATAGAGCTCTAAATCAAAATATGAGAAAAAATTTATATTTTTATGAGCATACTTTAATGTGTTTAGTATGTTTTGTCTTCGTCATAACTACATTATTCACAACTGAGGAGTAGAAAAGTAAGGCAGTAATAGAGTGTTTTAGTAGACATCCTTATGTACATTTAATTTCATAAATCAAATGACCCAAGACAAATCTGGAAGGCAAAAGAACCCTAAAATGCTTAATATAAGTAAAGATTACAAAAGTAATGACTGTGATTATTTGTCTTAACCAGTAAGAGTTGACTACAGAACCACCTAGGTGAATAGAGAAAAAACTGTATAAATTCATTCATTACGAGCAAACAAATAAACACCTTCGAAAAAAGCCCCCCAAAACCAAACTTTCCTGGCCTTTGTGTTAAGGTTATCTTCGTGTTAGTATGAAGTTAGCACGCAGGCTACGTGCTGATATGTTCTTCCAGGACTTCTTCTTTTCCTGATGTATTTCAGCACTGAGCTTTGGAAGTGGATTTGCGGAGATCATACTCTAGCCTCACCTTCAGAAGCATGTCGGTACACAGAGGTGTTTCAATAGCATTTGCTTGTATTTTCCTTGCTCTGAAGGTGAGGTTAGTGCCTGTCTCCTTTGAGGACCCAGAGTTCAAGTCGTCCTTCAGCCAGTCCTTTTCTTTATATGTCAAGTACCAAATGGCCATACACCAAGATCCACCTGATGAATGTGGGAAGACCGAGGTACTGTTCGTTAAATGTTTTTTCCTGCTTGACAAGGTTGTCTGTAAAGCATTTTATACGATTTGCTTGTCTTTTAAGTAGGGCTGATGTTCCTTTCAGTATGTATTGCTGAACTTTTATGAAAACAGAAACAAGGACTGTGAATTCAAGATAAGTTCTATGCAGTGTTTGGTTGAGGAGCTGAATAGAATATAAGTTTTGTCATCCAGCCTAATTCAGCAGACATTTACAGCATGCCCATGGTTTGTCGCAGGACAACTTAAAGAGTCAGTCTTCAAGGAATTGATGATCAAATGGGAAAAAAACAACCACTAAGCAAAACTAGCTCAACACAAAGTGAGTGGGAGAGAAATATGTTGAGATTTTTGTATAGCACATCACTTAAAAGAGCATTTATTGAGCATATGTATTTCCCAGACTGGGCTTATCAAATGAATAAAAGATTGCATAATTGTCTCAATGGGAAACTTTGTTGGAAGAAAGGTATCAATAGATGAAGAGGAATTAGTTTGATTGGTTTTTTGTTTGTTTGTTTGTTTAAATGCTTTTTTAAAATGACATAGAATGTGTATGGTGGAAACAGGAGTTAATGTTGCATGTTTCCTGAGAGAGGGCTGAAACCTAGACCGCTCTAGACTCTTCTACTTGAAATATGGTCTGTAGTGACCTGAAGATTGGCTATTAAGATTTAACAGTTGCTAATTTTTTCCTTTCCTTTACCTTTTTTCTTTTTATGTATTTAGTATAGGGTCTACAGGGTCTCACTACATAGATCGAATTCATAGTGCACCTCCTGTTTTCAGCCTCCCCAGTGCTGAGATTATAGGTAGGCACCACCATGCCCAGTCTCAACGTGCCCCGGGGGCGGGGCCTGCAGGGCACAATTGAACCTGGTCCCTGCCAGGCGCGTTAGTGCACTGAGTTATCTAGCTACCTCCTACTTTGCCTTCTTTCTAGTAACCGTTTTAGCTTAATTATATATCATGACATTTGACATCTAAATTCTTTAGCATGAGTTTCCAAAAATGAGACAGAATACAATGTAATTATTTATTTATTTTTTGGTAAGGGTCCACAGGGTCTCACTATGTAGATCGGACTCATTGTGATCTGCCTATGTTCAGCCTCCCAAAGAGCTGGGATTATAGGCGTGCTCCACCATGTCCAGTCTCAATTGCCGTCTCAGTGTGCATGGGGAAGAGGGGGCCATATGGCACGTCAGGGATCGAACTTCAGCTGCTGCATCTACTTAAGCAGGCACTTTAGTCCGCTGAGCTATTTGGCTGGCCCTACAATGTAATTATAAACCTAGGAAAATTTATTTTTGAATATCGGGTATCTAGTACTTAATTTACATTTTTCTGTTAAGATGTTAGTATTGTATTCGTGTGTTACATTTTGTTACACCATTGTAGATCTTTCTATTCTACATCAGTTTGCACCTTTTAAGTTTTTTCCACATTGTTATTTTTCTCCATCTTTTTTACTTTTGAAACTTTTCAGTTTTTGAACAGAAAAGTTGAAAGAATACATGGAGCACCCAGATACCATTCACCAAAATTTGCCAGTTATGAAGAACTATATCAAATTTGATTTTCCCCCCTTTCCTTTCTTTGCCTGAACCATTTGAAAATAACTTGTGGATTTAATGATTTACCTGTGAACGTTAAGCATGCTTTTCTTTATAGGTATAATTGTCCTATATAACAGTGATGTCTATTAGCTAATACAAGTTAGCAGAAAGTTTTAGTATATGTGCTGCTGAAGTGAGCACAGTTAACACAGATTCTTAATACCATACGCCTTACATACACATGTCCCACTTATATACCCAAATACCTTTAACAGATTTTAAGAAAAAATATAGGGGCCAGTCAAAGTTCACACACTGAATGAACTGTTTTGTTTATGTTGTGTTTTTAGTATTACTGTTAGGTTCTCTAGGTTTTTTTTTTTTTTTTTTGTCTTTTCAGTGTCTACTATTTAGGATTTATTTCCTATTAATTAGATTCCTAATCTTGAATGTTCTTAGAGGTGTGCATTTTTTTGTTTGTATGAGTTTATTAGAGAACCTTTTATTGAACTATGATATAGATACAGAAAAACACATGTGCATTTAGATTGTTTGTTTTTCTTTGTTTTTGTTTTTGGTACGAGAATCGAATTCAGAACCTTGTGGTTGGTTGCCAGGCGGGTGCTTTGTCACTGAGCTGTATCTTTTGTCCTACATATATATTGAGATAGATGAAATTTCCAAAACAGTACACACTTGGGTAACTAGTTCTCTTTTTTTAAGGAGAAAAAATATAAACCATATTTCACAACAAGGTAAATAGTTAACACCTCATATGTTGTTATTTTTAAATTAATTACCGAGGGCTGGCGAGATAGCTCAGCGGTCTAAAGTGCCTGCTTAGGTAAGCTTAGGCAAGTGCAGGGACCATAGTTTGATCCCCAGCACCACATGCCATGCCAGCCCCACCCGAAATAAATTAGTTACTCAGAGTACAAGATATTAGCATTTAATTGTCTAAACAACATTAGGACAAATCTTTCCAATGAACTAAGAGAATCACTATTTTAACTCTGTGTGTATGTGTGTGTGTGTGTGTGTGTGTGTGTGTCTGTCTGTCTGTCTGTCTGTCTGTCTACCTGCCTATTTAAAATACTTTTTTGCTATTCCCTTCTTTTCTCCATTCCCTCAGTTTCTCTTTCCTTTTGAAATTTCTTCCCATTTTACAATATCTGTTGTGCATTTTAGATCTTAAGATCTTTCATTGTCTCACGCTAGGGAGACAATTCGATGTTTGTGTCAGGTATATTTCATTTATGAGTATGGTCTTGAATTGCATCCATTTACTTATAGAAGTGTCCAGTTTATCCTCCTCTATGGCTGAGTAAGTACTCCATTGCATAAAAAGACCACGTCTTTTAACCATTCCTAAGTTGATTGGCATATAGATTGTTTCCAAGATCTAGCTATTACAAATTGTGCTCCTCATTGGCCAAGCATTGGCCGTGACTCATCCACATGGCTGACACTGACAAAGGTTCTACAATCTGAGGTACAGGATCTCAGGATAAATCCTGAGGGCATTTCACTGACCTTCTCAGACCAAAAAGCTACAACTCTTGTTGCACAGGTCCTGCTTTACCTTGGTCTTAACCATCCAGTAGAAAAGTATAAAGATGAAATATAGGAAGTAAAGCCATGCTGTTATGTTGAGCTGTGGGGGACTCAGGTCAACAATTTCTGACATTGCCAGTTAAACAGAAGACCCAATGCTATTATGGGCTACTGGACTCTTTTAGAATATTTTGCTGAGTTTACACACCTATAATATTCAACAACGGAACTTAAAAAAATTGGGGTATAACTATGAATGTCCATTTTGTATCTGTGTATTCAAAGTGGTTAGGATAGATATATAGTTGCATTCTCTTAATGAATAGAATGATTTTTTCTAATGGTGTTTGTAAGTAGGATCACAAGTCTGCATCTTGTACAGCAATTAACCACTAAGAGGAATATATGCAGTGTATTATTTGTTAAAAAAACAAACAAACAAACAAACAAATTGTGCTCCTATAAACGTGGGTGCACATATAATGCTGTGGTATGATATTTTTAATTCTTCTCGGAAGATACTTAGCAGGGTAATAGCTGGGACAAGGGAACCTCAAATCCTCGTTTTTTGAGGAATTTCATATTGATTTTGACAGTGATTGTACCAGCCTACACTCCCACCAACATTGGAGAAGGGTTTCTTTTTCCCCACAACTCCATTAGCATTTTTTATTGGTTGACTTCTTAATAATAGCATTCTTTCCAGGGTGTAATGTAATCTCAGTGTTGTTTTAATTTGCATCTCTCAAATGACCAGTCATGTTGAACATTTTTTCATGTATTTATTTGCTGTGTGTATTTCATCTGAGAAGTTTGCATTCATCTCAGATGCCTGTTTTTGGATTAGATCTTTGAATTTGGGTGGTCTGATATTTTTGAGGTCTTTATACATTCTTGATAGTAATCCTTTGACTGAGAAACATCTGGCAAACATTTTTTTCTTTCTTTATTTATTTATTTGAGAGAGAGAGAGAGAGAGAGAGAGAGAGAGGCCAGCTCGTCCCACCAGGGGTCAGGGCTGGCTGGCATGTGGTGCTGGGGGATTGAACCGCTCCCTGATGCTTTTGCTAAGCTTGTTCTAAGTAGGTGCTTTAGACCACTGAGCCATCTCTCCAGCCCCTGGCAAACATTTTTTTCCCCACATTTTCATACTCTGTTGGTGGTTTCCTTTATTGTGCAAAAATTTTTTAATAAGATGAGACTCTAGGGGCTAGCCAAATATCTCAGCGGATTGAAGCACCTGCAAGCAGGCACAGGGGCTGGGCGTTCGATCCCCCCGGCCTGCCATGCCAGCCCCGCCCTCAGGACGCTCTGAGACGGCAATTGAGGCTGCGCGTGATGGCGTGCACCTGTAATCCCAGCTCTTGGGAGGCTGTAAACAGGTGGATCACTACAAGTCTGATCTAGTTGTGAGACCCTGAGCACCCTGTAGACCCTTCCCTAAAAATACACACACACACACACACACACACACACACAAAAGATGAGACTCTAGTTGTTGGTTCTTTATGATACTTCCTATACAGTTGGAGTTTTATTCATAAAGTCTTTGCCTACACTAGTGTCTTCAAAACTTTTAACTATTCTGTCTTCTAGCAGATTTAATATTTGTTTTAATATTTGGATCTTTGATCCATTTCAGATTAATTTGGTGCACAGTAAAAGATATGGGTCCAATTTTAAATCTTCAGCATGTGCAAAGATAGTTTTTCCAGCACCATTTTTGAGGCTATCTTTCTTCCAGTGAATGTATTTGGCACCTTTGTCAAAGATAATGTGGCAGAGTATGTCTGGAGTTGCTTCTGCATCTTCTGATCTATCGCACTGATCTTTGGGTCTTTTTGCCCATACTATGCTTTTTCTTTTTCATTTG